TGTCTATGGTTGGTTGCATTTGGACATGGAGTGTGTCAGTATCTGAGGAGTTGTGAATGGTGCTGAATGTTATGCAATCATTGGTGAACATCCCCACTTTGACTTTATGATGGAGGGAATGTTGTTGACGAAGCAGTTGAAGATGGTGGTTGGGTCTAAAACAGTGCTCTGAGGTACTCCTGAGAGATAGCTTGGGACTAAGATATTTTTCCTTCATTCCCATTGACTCTAGTTTTAGTAGTCTCTTTGTTCAAAGCATACTGTTCTAGGGCAAACTCCTTGAATTTACTGTGCCTCATTGTGGTGTTGTTCAAATTACCTCATTTACTTATCAATATACTTTGTTAACATACAAAGCAAACATTCTTATCTTTATGGTTGTAAACAGAAATTCATTTTCTTATTCTGCACAGAGTTGTACATTTTTGGTTTCTATGTAGATGGTCCAGGTCATCGCTAATCATTATTGTTTCACATTAAGTTCATGACATTACTCTGACACTTGTCACATTGCAGTCAACCTCTGGCTTCAAGTGTTTTCAAGCGTTAAAGCACAGGAGGTCACTTGAATGACAACATTGTAACTTGATAGGAGCTCTCTCCAATGAAGGATGAGGATTAATGGCTTCATAAGGTCAAAAAGAAAATGCATTGCGGTGGAAATTCGTCCCGAATACATATTTTATACATTTCAGTGGTAATATCTTTATTTGAAAAGGGCAATCACAAATCTCAGAGAATAATCCTGTGTGTTAAATAGCCAAGTAATTTCCATCCTTTTTGACAGAGGAAAAAAGAATGAAAACCAAAATATGACTATTGTTGCTGTTGTCATAAGATTGCTAATTTTCTGCAACTACATTATTAACCTGAGGACATGGAGTCTCTTCCATTTGGCAATCAACTTCATGGGACATAGATGGCTGAGACTTTTGGTCCTGAGATTGAACTGTGTCAAAAAATATACTTCATAAAATGTATAAAGCTACATTACACAGCAATTCAAAGTTGATATTACATAAAGCATGAAACAAATCAGTTTCTTTAAATGTAGTATATGATGACACTCTGAGGTGCTATAATAAACTAACAATTACTGGTTCTATTTAAATAATCACTTCATGTCAAATATACAGAAGACGAATTTTACATGATTTCCATCCTCTTGTAATACTATGATGAGAGTTGTTGGCCACTAGCATTGAGGGCAGATTGTGGCATAGTTGTAATATCACTAGTTGAGAAACTCTACAGCCCTGGTGACGATATTAAGAGTTAGTCCCAGTAATAATAATCATGAACCTATGACTGCTCATCACAGCAATCTGTTTGGTTCTCTACTGTCCTTCAGGGAAGGTAATCTGCTGTCCTTACTTAGTTTTAAGTCCTGTTGTCGTTCTCTCAGAAGCATTTTCTGTTACCACCCCTCCTCCACCCTTAGCAAACTTCATGGGCTTGATTTATGTCACCCCAACATTGACATTGTATGATAGCAAGTTTAATGGCATTCACAATTATTAGCATGTAAATCATCTCAGTATGACTTACAAACATAAGTACTTCTTTTAATGTGAAATTTATGTTTCTATCAATATCTAGACCAAAAATTTAAAGTATGGATTAAATCATTGTTAGAAACATTGAGGTTGTAGACTTGCTGGCTGAGCTGGTGTGTTTGGTTGCAGACATTTTGTCACCTTGCTAGGTAACATTGTCAGTGCGCCTCCGGAGAAGCATCGGTGTTCAGTCCCATTTATTATTTATACGCCTTGGTTTGCTGGGGTGGTTGGTATTACTTCTGGTTTCACTCTTCAGAGGTTTGCATATAGACTAGCTAAAGAACTACAACTGAAACTGAAATACTTCGTAGACAACACTACCCACTCCATCCACTTCTCCCAAGAATTCCTCATTATCATCAAGGACTCCAGAATAGACGAGGGTGAGATAATGATATGCTTCGGATTAACAGCACTATTTACATCCATAAACATCGACCTAGCCAAAGAGAGAATTGCCACACTGCTGGACAAATAATGAAGATGGACATCCCACGACACCAATAGCATCAACAAGGACAGCACCCTGAAATGGCTGGATCTGTGCCTCACAATCCACTTCACCTTCATCGACCATATATTCAAACAACCCAATGGAACAACAATGGGATCCTCAATATCAGGACACATTGCAGAAGCAGTAATGCAGAGGTTAGAATGAACAGTGCTCTTCACTACATAACACAAATTCTGGGTCCACTATGTAGATTACACTTTCGTGATTATGAAATATACAAGACTAGAAGAAACCCACCGACACATAAACAACATCCTCACCGGAATAAAATTCACAAAAGAAGAAGAGAACAATAACCAACCATCCTTCCCAGACGTACTGGTGGAACGTAAGAACAACGCGGAACTCCAGGTGAGCATATACCGAAAGATCACACACACAGACCAGATTCTTAATTACTCCAGCAACCACCCAACACACATAAACAGGGCTGCATCAGGACATTATTTAAATGAGCCACAACAAGCTACAGCAACCTGGACTTGCGCAAAGCAGAATAGGAGCACTTATACGGAGTTTTTAAAAGGAATGGATACCCAAAATTCACAATCAGCTGTTATGTCTGAGACAGGCCACAACAAGAAGACACAACATCGCCAGACACATTAGTCACCATACAGTACATCAGGGACATATCAGAGATGACCACAAGACTACTCAGACCCTTAGGTATCAGGGTAGCCCACAAACCAACAACCACCCTGTGACAGCTACTGACAAACGTAAAGAACCCCATACCCACAACCAATAAAACTAACATAATACACAAAATACCATGCAAGGACTGTGACATACAAATATTACATAGGCCAAACTGGAAGAAAACTGACAATAAGGATACATGAGCACCAACTAGCCACCAAGAGACATGACCAATTCTCACTGGTCTCAATACACATGAACCAAGAAGGACACAAATTCGATTGGGACAACACATCTCTAATAGCACAAGCCAAACAGAGACATGCCAGGGAATTCCTGGAGGCCCAGCATTCCAGCTGGAACTCCATCAACATACACATTGAACTGGACCCAATGTACAAACCCTTGACAAACAGAACCAGAAGTAATACCAATCACCCCAGCAAACCGAGGCATAGAAATAACAAGCGGGACAGAACACCAACGCTTCACCGGAGGCGTACTGACGATGTTACCTAGCAGGATGATGAAACGTTTGCAATCAAACACATTGGCTCTGCGAGCAAATCTACAACCTCATCCACAACCTGAGCTACAAATCTTCTCAAAAAACTGTTGGAAACATTAACTAGAAAAAAACCTAAAAATCTTACTTTTTCAATTTTTTTCTCTTTGTCTGTTCATCAGTTCACAATTTTAAATAAAAACCGAAAGAACTGCGGATGCTGTAAATCAGAAACAAAAACAAATTTGCTGGAAAAGCTCAACAGGTCTGACAGCATCTGTGAAGGAAAGAAACAGAGGAAGGATTTGAGGAAGGGTCACCGGACCCGAAACGTTAACTCTGTTTTTTTCTTCACAGATGCTGCCAGACCTGCTGAGCTTTTCCAGCAACTTTGTTTTTGTTCCTGATTTCACAATATTAGTCTCTTTATTTTCCTCTGCATCTTCCTAAATCCTTAAGTCTGAGGGGATTGGGAGATTAGTGACTCATTCTGTCTTTTTCTGTGATGCTCTGTTCCCCTTGCACTTCCAATAAATTATAAGTTTTAAAAGAATTGAATTGTAGGGTTTGGGGAAGTGGTCTGAAAGAGGGGTATGCTGTGAGATGCTCTGCTCCTGTTTAAATTTGCTGACCCCATAATTTCTAATGGAGACAACACTGGGGCCATTAAATGGGCAGATGTTCTGCTCCATTAGGCTGACACTAAATTGCTAGCCTTTACATTTCAGGAACTAACTGTTTGCAGATCTCTGGAATTGTTCTTCACTAGGGCCTCCTCAGCTGTCTTTTCTTGGGTGAGAATTCCCCAGTAATCTTGTTAAAATAAAAGAACAAAAACCTCAAGAAGAAAAAAGAACAGAATTCAAAATGTCCTTGTTAATAGTTCCTAACTGCACCATTTGTGATTCACAGCAGGCCTAAATTTATTATTTTCCCCTGAAGGCACTTCTTAAGCATTCAAGGCCGATGTCATATTATGAAGCATAATCTAGGATTTAAAGAAAAGTGAGATCTCATGAACACCTACAATAGAAATCTTTGGAGCATTTGGGGAAATCTGTGGGACATTTTGGTGGAACAAAAAGGGTTCACCGGATCCGAACTGTTAACTCTGTTTTTTCTTTCACAGATGCTGCCAGACCTGCTGGGCTTTTCCAGCAACTTTGTTTTTGTTCCAGGGTTCATTAATAGTTTGGGGACTAAATATGAGATCTGACCAAGTGGCATAATAACCTTTGTCCAAGGCATGTATCCTTTGTTGAATTGAACTCAGCTTCAACTACAATAAAACAGCTGTTTGTCTTGCTAATCTCCCAGAAACTGTCCGTTTGGTCTTTGTGCCTCATCAAATAATGCTGACAATATGAAGTGCAGTAAAATTAAGTCAGTGAGCACCCATTGCCAGGTTGTGGTCCCTCCAGATATCTGTAATTACCTGAATGTGTGCACTTAGGACACTGACCTTAAACAGTAAGACCAGGTTTACAACAAATCATTATAACAATACTTCAGACTGAAAAACTGCTTTAACAATGATAATGCAAGCTTACTGGAATATAAAAACAACTTGGGATGAATGCGTCAGTTTTATGCAGAAACTCAGCCAAGTATTTACTAATTATTAAAGAGTTTATCTTATTCAGTGGTGCAAATTAATAAATTCTGGAGATGTCTTAGGAAATCCGTATTATCATACAATTATTGTTGTATATTTACGTCTCTTATGAAGATAATGAAAATTGAACTGAACAAGTGAGTAAAATATGCTTAGGCTGACTTTGAGTTAAAGGATTTCAAATTGAATTCATTTTTGGGTGATATAGAAGCAGGTTAGTACCTTAACATGATACATTATAAATGTACATTTCACTTAGCATTCCAAGGACTGAATGAAGGTGTCTTCTTTGGAAGATGTTCATTCTCATGCTTAAATGAAATGTTCAAGTTACTGTTGCAGCTCCCAAGTCATGATCCCTCTCCTCTGTAAGACAAAAAGACATTTCCTCTTAAATAAAAACCGAAAGAACGCTGGATGTTGTAAATCAGGAACAAAAACAACGTTGCTGGAAAAGCTCAGCAGGTCTGGCAGTATCTGTGAAGGAAAAAACAAAGGAAGGGTCTGAGGAAGGGACAGCGGACCCGAAATGTTAACTCTGTTTTTCCCTTCACAGATGCTGCCAGACCTGCTGAGCTTTTCCAGCAACTTCTGTTTCTGTTCCAGACATTTCCTCCTTCTTTGTTTTGGTCTCCAGAAATCTTTGAAAGTCAAGTTAGCCTCTGATATTGACCTGAATATATCAGTACAAAATTATAATGGCTGACATTTTAATCCAGAAGTTTTACCCCAGACTGTTGCTACCTCCATAAGTGAAAATCGACTGTCAATATTTAATGGTCATTACTTGACTTTCAACCTGACATTTTCATGGTCTAAAATGGATTTAGGAGAAAGAAAAACACACAGCTGACCTAGAATAGCTGCTGCAATCACCTGACATGTATAGGCAGCTTATTTGTGCTTTCACTGGATGTGGGTGTCGTTGGCTGGGTCAACATTTGTTGTCTATCCCCAATTGCCTTTTATCTGAGTGGCTGTTTTGGCCATTTCAATTGGTAGTTGAGAGTCAGCCACATTGCTGATGGCCTGGAGTCACATGTAAGCCAGACCCGGTAAGGATGGCAGATTTCCTTCCCCAAGAGACATTAGTCAATGTGACAGGTCTTTACAACACTTTATGATAGCTTTATGATCACCACTTCTTACAGCAGGTTTCGGTTCCAGATTTATTCAACAAATTTAAATTCCACCACTTGGCATGGTGGGATCTGAACCCGGGTCGCCAGTGTGTTGGCTTGGGTCAAGAGATTACTAGTTTTGTGATCTTATCACTACACCACCATCTTCCCAAAATGGCTACGTGGACTATACAAAACTGACTGCATTGGAATTAACCCTCTACTTGAGAGTCACTGAAGCTCAGTGAAACATCAAGAGATTTGCATCTCTTGTTTTATTCACACTTGCAGGATAAGTTCACGTATTGAAAGATTACCTACCGGGAAGGAATTATACACCAGCAGCAGCCATCGAATTGACATGCCTAAAAAATGTTCAGAATTCACGCCTTCCATTGTTCAAAGCTTACTGCAAAACACACAAAACAATGGGCTCCTATGGCTGAATCTTACATTTTTGCGGCTAAGCACAAGTTGCATCAAGATATTGTAGAATTTTTCTACATGATGTTTAGTGAAAATTTTTAGTGAATAATATGCAACTTTGCCTCAAAGAACACTTACTGGCAGAGAAGCTTCTCAGTTGCACCCTCAATCGATTACTCAGAGAGGAGAAATTGATTTGAAATTGAATTAACTGTTGATCTTTTCTGTGGCCATTCGATTGAACAACAAATATATTTACATTGAAATATATAAATTTTAGCAAAACTACAATAATTGGACAGAATAATCACAGAATCCCTACAGTGTGGAATCAGGCCATTTGGCCCACTGAGTCCACACTGTCCCTCTGAAGAGCATCCCACCACCACTACCCCGCTCCAAGCAACACCGCCCCCCCCCCACCCCCCCACCCCTCACACCATATCCCTGCATTTCTCATGGCTAATCCACCTAGCCTGTACATCTTTGGACTGTGGGAGAAACCCAGTGGAAATCCATGTAGATAGGGAAGAACGTGCAAGCTCCACATAGACAGTTGCCGAGGGTGGAATCGAACCCGGGTCCTTGGAGTATAATAGGCATATAATTTTTGCCAGTTTATCAAGAGTGCCAGTTCATAAAGTCAAAACAAAGTTTGCTGTAGGTCAAAACTGCAACAGTTACCCACCACCGGCAGAATGTGCAATTTCAATATCGGCCGGTATGAGATATTACATTTTGCTAAGAAAACCAAAGAGGTCACATAATAATTACAAAATAAGATGTTAAGTGACAAGAGAAGTTAAGCAGTCTAGGAGTTCCAATACACAAGTTGTAATGCAAATCGATGGGGTGATAACATAAACAAAGAAGCTCTATGGCTTATTTCTAGACGGATAGAACTGAAAAGTAAAGAAGCAATGTTAAACTTGTATCGAACATTGATTAGACCACACCTAGGCCTGCATTTTCTCACAGATGCAGAAACTCTCCATTGTTACAAAAATGGTGGCAGAGGTTGGGATCTGCAAGCCCTGCCTCCGAGCACAGCACCTGCTATTTCGGGGAAGGGTTGGGTGATGAGTTATAGCTTGTACATCCGATGTTCACTGAGGTAAATGCACGTGTTCGAGTGCAGCTGTCACATGCTGACCTGACTTTCACATGTGCAATATCCAAAACATGGCTGATGCACTTTAGACCAGATAGGAGAAGGTCTGTTGTTGTTGAGGAGAAGGCCTAAAGCTGCCAAAGTTCTTTAGAGAAATGGAGCACCCTTTTGGACAAGTAAAGCACACTACTGGATATGGCGCTGGGACATGTTTGGAGATCAGCTAAACTTTAGGGGAGGAAGTGAACCCTTTGGGAAAGATGGGATGTCCTTTGGAATTGTTAGAATTCGACATCGATATCTATAAAGAGTATATAAACTCAATTAAGCTGTAAAACTCATTGAGCTGTCAAGAGAATTTTAAACAGAATTATCAACAGAGCTGTGGAAGGGAGCTAGTAAGGCATCTAAGATTCTATTCCTTCAAATATTGGGAAAATAACAGATTCAGTGTTTTAAAATCAGATAGTAATCCAATTCCTTTTTGAGTATCTCAATTGAATATGCCTCCACCACATTCTCAATAAACGTATTACAGTTCTTAACAACTTGCTGCATGAAATAATTTTTTTCATGTCTCCATTGCTTTTTTTTTGTTAATTATCTTAAAATCTATGTCCTCTTGTTCTCAATCCTACCACAAATGGAAACAGTTACTCCCTGTATTCTCTATCTGGACACCCCCCATGATTTTGAATAGCTCCTTTCCCGATGAAAACAATCCTAACTTCTTCAAACCGTTTACATAACCGAAATTTCACATCCATGGCACTTTTCTGCACTTCTTTCAATCTTTTCTCATCCTTCATAAAGTGTGTCCAGAGCTGGACATAATACTCCAATTGAGAGTGAACCAATAGATTATAACTTCCTTACTTGTACGCTCTATGCCCCTGTTAATAAAATCCAAGATATTGAATGCTTGATTCATCACACTCTCATCCTGTCTTGCCCTTTTTAATTACTTACACATATTCACCCAGGTACTTCTGTTCCTACAGCTCCTTTGGAATTGCAGCCTTTTTTTAATATAATGTATCTCCAATTGCTAATTGCCCACAGGAGTGTTAGGAATCAATCACATTGATGTTGGTTTGGAGTTACACGTAAGCCAGGCCAGGTAAGAACAGCAAATTTCCTTCCCTGAAGGAAATTGCAAATCAAATAGGTTTATACAACAATTAAGCAAGATTTTTAATTCCTAATTTTAATTGAATTCAAATTTCACTGTCAGACATGGTGGGAATTCAAATCCATGTCACCAAACCAGTAGTCTGTGTTTCTGGATTGTGAGTCCAGTGATGTTACCACAAGGCCACCAAATCCCAATTCACTCAATATCCTTGGATGCATCACATTTGGTCTTGAGGCCTTACCAACTTATGTACAGACAATCTACCTAACACGTCTTTATCAATTTTAATCCTTCCAGTGCCACTTGGAGGTTTCTAGAAGTAGTCCATGAGCTCACATTCCTCTAGTTCAACTGTGGCATCAAGCCTGCCAATGTACAAAAGCTTCTAAAGTCTGTAGCTCCACATTTAATAGCATTATTAGTTATGTGACAGACTTCTTCTCTCAGTGTGGCAGAAAGGCTCATGCAGCTTGTGTGCCGGCAACCACCTTAAAGTTTTTTTATACATCAAAAAACAAAGCCTTGAACTAAACTGAAGATCGTTGCTAAAAATAGTTTGTCTGGTCATTATTATTGCTGGTATAATGCCATGTATAAATTGATTGTGCTTAGCCTCCAACAAAAAAAAATAATAATTCCTGTAATTAATTATCTGTGATGCACTTTGGAAAGTTCTGATGAAGTTTTACAAATACGAATCATCCTTTTTCGGTCTGTAAAAATTTTGAAAAAGGGGCATACCTACAACGAGATTGGCTCATTAACGGAGCTCATTCACACTTGTTAGAAACAATATACATCCCATATTCAAAGACTCATTCTCTTCAAACAGAAGGAATATGTTGAAACTTTATGCCACATTGACTTAGCGTGCTGAAATCAAACCCTGCCATTCCTAGAGTCATTACAAACATTAAATATTTTTTTAAAAATGTGTAGGATTCCCCAATTTATCTGTCTTTTACACCCATAAAAGCATGGATAAGGTTTCTGCACTTAACAAGAATCACTAATACAATTAAATTGACTCTAGCTACAGGTAAACAATTATGAACCATTGGCATATAACTGTTAGTTAAAATATGCACCCCTTTTAAACTTGCTCCCTACACACGCGCGCACACACACACAAAATGAGTATTATGGATAGAGGGAAAACTGGGAAAACAATGGTCTCTGTTCACAGGGTGTGCTGAGATGGATGTTGTGCTGAGCAGAATATTGCCTCTCAGTCTTCTATCTGCATTTACTGGTTTGCAGGATGCACACTGTAGTTGGCTCACGCTTATAAAATGTCTCCGACTGATTTGTTAAAGTTATAGCCTACAGCAATTGCTGAAGTAAATATAAATTGGTTTTCTTCAGACGTGAAGCAACATTGACTGCAGAAAAAGTATCGAGCTCCTGAGCTGGTGGAGACTCATCCCCTATAATTTATTCACAGCCCAAAGCTGTTCAGCGACCTGAGAACCAATTACATAATTGTTTGCAAGCAGAAGACTTATATTGTCGAAAACCGGTCATTAGACCACAGACCAATCAGCTACTTTTGCCAGCTAAATCTTAATTTGTAAACAACCTTGGTTCCAACTCATTTGCAAATGACATTTCAACTACTGCTTAATAGAACACAATAGAATATCCTTCATTCTCTTGTATACTCAACTACAAAAGGACAGGATAAAGTGAAAAAATTTACAATGTCACCTCTTACAGCGTTATTTTAGGGACAAGTGACAAGATACAGATCAAAAAGTAGTTGCATTAGTTCACAGTGTTCAAAGAATAAGTTAATAATAATACAAAATGAAAGAATTCACATTTCAGACAGATTTTTAAAAAAAAGCAATTCAAATAAACATTGACTGAGAGCGGCGCAAGGCAGGAACTTTCATGCGTAGCATGAGTACACTCACCAGATCCTAGTTCAACATCAGTCCCCTCTTCAAGACTCAGGTCGACTCGGTACTGACTCTCAGCT